CCCTCTTACAAGGCGCTCCCGTCGTGTTTCCACTTTGTCTCCAATTATGTCTAAATGCAACCCACCACAGATGCTTACATTTTAAATGTTTAGTTGTTATAGTTACTTGACTAATTGCCGGGCCGACGGTGGCGCTTCTACTTCGCCTCCCGCGGGCAGCAGAGCAGGCGGCCGGGGAAGTAAGGGGGTAGATGGGGCTGTAGACGCTAAACCCCGGGGTCTGGGACACAAGACCAGGCCCTGGCAAGGGTGCTCTGCCCCGGAAACCGGCGGTCCCTCCGCCTACAGCCAGTAGCCAGGGCACCGAAGGCGCGCCCGGCCTCAGGATTGCCCGCCCTGGGACAACGGAGCGGCAGAGGGTCTAACCTCGGGTGCGCCGCAGCCGGCCTCCCATCCGTCCACACTCGCAATGTGGATAAAGTGAGGTGGCATCTTCGGGAACCTGGGGAAGGAGGTGGCCAGGGGCGCGTTTGGGGGGCGAAAGCAAAGAGTTAGAAGCCGCTGCCGGTTACTCACGTGCCAGATGGCGAAAAAGATGAGCGCAGCGCACAGCACCAGCGACAGCATGTAGCAGAAAGCAGCGAAAGTGAAGGCCATGGCCGGCCGGGGGCCGCCCGCACTCCAACCGCACCACACACAAAGCAGCGCCTAGGAAGCCGTTGTCCCCCTCAAGGACCGCACTCCCTCAAAAGGGGGGCAAAAAAGGTACGCCAAGCGGAAAGAGCCTTGAGCGTCCGCGAACAGGGCCAGGATTCCCGCAGGCTCTGGCGACCCGGGACTCCTGCTTGTTTGCGAAAATAAGTGCGTCGGGCGTCGTTGGCGGGAACTATCCCCAAATCGAGGAAGAAACCAAATCAGTAGAGAACTCCTGCAGATGAGCGTCAACCAGCGAGCTTCTCGAGACAACACGGCGAGGGTTGCGAGGACTCCACGGAGGGCTCCCGTGGCCCCGGAATCCCAGGGAAGAGCCCCCTGCCTTCCGCGCCTAAGCCACACAGGAGAGCCGACAGCGCCGCTCGGGACTCTCCCGCGCCAGCCAGGAGCCAACCGAGAGCGTCCAGCGAGGTGCCCGGGCAGACCCCGAGCTGCTCCCAAGTCCCTGGAGAACAGGTCTTCAGGTAGCCGGGAAGAGCCAGGTCCCCTTGGTCCTGCGCCCCGGACGCGGATTCCACGGCTGCCCTGCGCTCTTGGGCACGCCCGGCCCCGGCCCCTGCTGCGGCCCCTGGCCCACCGGCCTCGGTAATACAAGTTCCCCGGAAACGAGGGGTTGGACCGGGCCGGGCACGGGCTCCAGCCCAGCGGGCTTGCTCCCGCCCGGGCAGCTGTAGTGGATCTCAGGCCAAGAGCTGCTCGCCGCGGAAGCTCGCTCCACCTGCTGCTGCCGCCGCCTGTGTCACTGCGAGAAGTGAAGACGCGCAGCCGGGGATCCCCTCCCTCTCGGCTCCGGCTCCGCCGAGCACGCCCTCCCCGGCGGGCGGAGACTGAGGCGGCCGGGGCTGGGGAAAGGTGGGCGGCCAAGCGCAAGCAGGATCCCGGTCGCCTCCGCCGCTGCGGTTGCGCCAGCCGGCCTCTCCGAGGAAACTTGAAGCCAGCGGCGTAGGCGGGGCAGGACGGCCGCGCCGAGGTGGGGCTGGGTCGGGAGGAGCAGGGACTCTTTAAACACGTGCGTCTGGAGGAGGCGGGAAGCTGCGGAAGGGTATGTGTGTACCTAGTACCTAAAGGCTGCAGGAGCCGCTCAGTATCTCGCCTCTTGCTCGGGAGTGGGAAATGTGGCGCCGAGGGAGCTGGAAGCGTGTTGGTTGGGCACACAGGACAAGCTCTTGGAACCCAGGGTTGTTCGGGTGGGTTTTCCCGAGCTGTGGATTTAATGCTCCGGGCTGCGTTTGCAGCGCATCCCTGAAAAATTCTCCATGAGCGTCTTTCACTCGCCGCCTCCACGCTCCCCCGCCTTCTGACCTTGGGAATGAGGAAACTAGACTTTGAGGACTATTGTGGGCCGGAAAGGCAGCAGCAGTGACTCTGTGTGTATTGGTGTTGGTCTAAAGTGTCAAGAGCATGTGCTTTTGCAGTCAGACTCCGTTCTAAGTGCAACTTTCTAAACCTCTTTAAATCTCGGTTTCCTTATCTGCCTGAGGGTCAACACGTAATTGCCTCTAGGTCTACATACTTTGCACCGCCAAGCGCAAAATTAAAGTGTGGGGCTTCTTGTTTAAATGTATTGATACGTATATTAAGAATTTGAAGATAGCAACCGGCAGAGTTTTAAACCAGGGGTGAGGCCCTTCTGAGTACAGGACTTCGCCTGCCCCACGCCCCACAACTGTAGAGGTTGCACACCTGTGATTTCAGCCCTGCTCTGTGTTATATTTGTTGCCACTTTATCTTTCACCAAAGTATGTCTGCAAGTATAAAGTTTCATTAAGGAAAATTTGGAAATACAGAGATGGGAAAAGATGAAGCAAACGCTGTAATTTACCACCCTCAGACACCACTAACACAAAAGTGGTCGGTATATTTCTTTCTAGCTCTATTTTTGCTTTTTACTTGATATCAATTATTTCTTTTAATTGTAATTATACTGCATAAATTTTTGTAACACCAAAACGATACGATAATCTCAAAGGGAAGTTTGACCATTCAATATTTGGAGTCCCTTCAAGGCTGATCTGTTGTCATTTGTTTCTGCTGGTTCTTGCTTCCGGAGTCCTAGCACCTCATCTGTCTAGTAATTTTTTATTGTATGTCAAACATTGTTTTTAAAAGTTCTTGTGGAAATTTGAGGTCTGAGATGATGTTATCTTTCTCCAAAGAAAATTTTCTACTTCATTTACCAAGTGTCTAGGGGAAATGAACACTCTAGAATTACCTCAATCCAATTTCAGGGATTGAGATTTGTGGGCTACCCATTGACTGTGGTCTGTGTAAGGGCTGGTTTTTTTCTGGTTCACTCTTATTCACATGTAACAGTCCTTTTGGATCCCAAGCCAAAGCGAGTGGGTTTTCAAGTCCCAAGTCTTGGTGGTCCTTGGACTCTGACTTTTGCTCCAACCCTGCAAAGCACTAAAAGCAGCCTCTCAGCCACCTGTTCTAGATTAGCAAATGCCTCTAGGGCAAAATTGACCCCAAGTGCTAGGCTGATGTTTCTAGATTCCCAACCACTCTCAGAACTTGACCCCAGTAATTTCTTACTCCCTTGTTGAGTCTTTGGTGCTTTTAAGAAGATGTTTTTATATTTCATCCGGCTTTTAAAATTGTGTTCAGTCGGAGGATTGGTCTGAATTATCTAGCCCAGCATTACCAGCATCAGAAGTCTCTACATCAGAAGAAATTTTCATTATCCTACCACTCTGACTTTCAAGTCTCCATCCATATCATAGCCTCTATTTTTCTTGCCCTTTCCCCAGCCATGCTTTATTTAGTTTTATTGGTTATAGAATGGTATCTCAGAAAAGGTGACTGCAGTGGTAGAATTTCAGAAAATAAGAACCCCAGGTGGTTACTATTTATTCAGCAACTGTTGTTTAGTACCCATATGTTGTGGGCATCGTTAGGGATCCACAAGGTTCCCAGTCTAACTGCTGAGGTAATTAATAACTCTTTCACAAGGCAGTGTCTTTAAAAAAAAAAAAAAAAAAAAAAAAGTGGCTATGACACAGTACAGGAAGGCAAGGAATAAAGTGATTAGAAATAGATGTTGAGTGACCAACTAAAGTGTTCTGCACCCAATTCCAATGTGGAGGATTTTCCCACATCACCATGCACCCCTCAGAAACCAGCTGGTGACCTACAATTCAACTCAATTCTGACACTGTCTACCTGGAGATAGTATCAGATTCTACAAGTTAAGGGCTCAGTCTCATAAGCCGGTCCTCCAATTCAGATGCCAATCACAAGACCAGGTTGTTACCTGTGCTTCTGCTGGCTGGCTGTTGATTTGGAGGTTCCAAGGACACCTTCCTTGGGTTTGATTAATTTGCTCGAATGGTTCACAGTACTTAGCAATCTAGTTTACATAGTAGATTACCAGTTTATTACAAAGGATATTAAAGGATACGAATGAACAGCCAGATTAAGAGATACATAGGACAAAATCTGAAAGGGTCCTGAACACAGGAACATCTGTCCCCATGGAGTTTGGGATGCACCACCTACAGCAATGGGTTCTGGTTCAGCAACATGGAGGCTCTCCAAATCTTGTCCTCTTAGACTGTTGTGGAGGCTTCAATACACAAGCATGATGGATTAAATCATTGGTAACAGAGTCAACCTCCATCCCCTCTCCCCTTCCAGAAATCAGGGAGTGGGACTAAAAGTTCCAACCCTCTATTCGTGGTTGATTCCCTGCACAACTAGCCGCCATCCGTATGTGCTTTCCAGGAGTCACACCATTAACATAAACTCAGTTGTGGTGGAAAGGGGCTTGTTATGAATAACGAGACACCATTTCACCTTTCTGGCTCTGAAGTGATTTCAGGAACTGAGGACAAGAGATCAAATATTATCACAAAAGATGCTCCCACTGCTCTTCTCACTCAGGACATTTCAGGGGTTTGGGGAGCAGTGAGCTAAGATGGGGGACATTTGAATGACCAAATATATTGATATATTTCTTATAAATCATAATATGCTGCCAACCTACATTGTTTCAGCTACTGTAGACATTGAAAAGCCAATTACTTGATTTTTTTCCCTAGCCACTGTGCAGGTAGGAGTGGCCATGTGACACAGCTTGAACCTGTGAGATATATACTTCTTTTCACCTGGAATGCAAACCTGATGCCTGGAGGCACACCAGCCATCTTGTGATCATGAGAAGGAAATCAACACATTAAGAATGGAGAAGCCAAAAAAGACAGAGGGAGGAAATACCATTGACATCATAACTGGGCCACCCCACCAGCCCTGAACTTCCTATTCCCTCACTGGTATAACTGCAGTGATTGTGATACTCTTGAAAGATTTCTGTTCCAGTTGGTAAGTATTACAGTTGCTGCAGCAAACAGGAAAATTAATAAATAATTAAAAATTCTAAATTAAACTCATTCATTTGGGCCAGTTGTCATAGGATATCACAAGGATCATTGATAAACGGGCCTCTCGGATGCTTATTTATCACAGAGCACACCATGCTATTGACATCCTGGTTTATCACTATATTGAAATCATGTGGTTGCCCCTGATTCTACATAGTTGTTACTTTACTTGTATTTGTGCATTGTAATGCTTGTGTAAGTGGTAAATGTAGTGTTTCAATATTTATAAACTTAAGAATTTATAAATAAAATATTAAAAACAAACTCACAGAATAAAGAGAAAACCAACATGGATACATTTATTAATGTTCCATTTAAATATCATACAACTCAATCTTCTGAGCCTGAAAAGAACAAGCAATGTTAATAATGAAGTATAGCCTAGAATACTTACTGTGTGGAAATCCAAACGACCTGAACATTTTTACTCTGTGCAAGAGTCAGTGCAAATGCACACAATACTTTTTATTTCTTTAATGTAAAATAATTAGACTATTTTAACAAAAATATAAGTGTCTCATCAGTGCTAGGGATATAAATATGGGATGCAAATGGTGCACTGAG